ACGGGCGGCGGCGGCTGTAGGACCGGGGATAGTGTCAACGCTGCGGCTGCGGGGTGCAGGGCCGTGCCCGCCGTCGGGGCACACAACGGGTGCAGGGCGGCGAGTGAGGGACGCTGGCGCTGACGCTGACGCTGCTGGCCCTGGACCTCGCCGTTCTATTCCGAGTCCTGCTGCATTTTGACGTGGCCATTACCGGCGGAATTGCTCGACGCGCTGCCGCTGCTGGGCGGGAAGCTCGTGGGTATGGTGCGCGACGACGAAAAGCAGAGCTTCATGATGTAGGGGAACTTGCCGTCTGTAACAGACAAGCATGCGGGAGGGGGGCCGCGTTGTAGTACTTCGCTGCCGAACTTGCTAGCGAAGGAACCGGTTCCAGTCGATAGAGTCTCGTCCGTTCGCGTTAAGCAGCATTTCTCACACTGAGTTCGACAACTTCTGCGATTAGCTTCATTAGAGAAGAATAAAGTTTTAGTTGAGTTCTGTGGAGACATCTGGAGATTTTGATCATTGACTCTTATGATTGTGATGGTGCAGCGTAATGTTTGAACAAGATACTGATTTCTTGAGCAATTCAATAATTTATGAGATTCTCGATTCGATTTTGCTGGATGTAAAAATTATTCGAAAATCTCAAGAGAGATGTTTAAATAAAAACAATTTCTCAACGGTGAAGGGAGGGGAAAAATCGTAAACCAAGACTTGTCTTGGTAAAGTGAAATCTAAATTCGAATTGAACGAGTAAGCGATAAAGTCTCGCCGGTGAATTGTGGAATATCATAACCCCGTGAAATCCGTTATTTCATCGAGAAACGCTGCTCGGGAGAAATCCGAGTTTTACGATCATACGAGTTTGACATCGATACTCACTGCTGTTCTCGAGTGCCGTGTGATTACACTCCATGATGGCAGCCACTGCGATACCGACGCTGCTGAATTCGATGAGACCTGACGATGATCGTTCGGACTTGAGGGGGAACAATTTGACAGTCGTCGGCGCCTCGATGCCACGCTCCACAAACACGCGGTTCACCGTGTCTTCGGTCAAATCTGGCGGGGTGTTGAAGAAGTGGACTATCTTCGAGGGTGGCTGTATCCTGTTCTTGTTAGCCATTGCGGGGTTCAGAAATCTGTAACAATATATGCAAATTCGAATTTAGATTAGTTTCTTTGCACTATATATTTCATCGATTTCTACGGAGCTTAATTAAATGTTAAATTTCTCTATTGCATCGCTTATTTTGTTTCAAAGTTTTAAAACTTGCATGGTTTTTTAATAAAATATTTTAGAAAATTTTATCCACTTTTTTCGCAACTTTTATATATTCACATGAAATAATATTCCCTGTCTTATTAACAAAAATTAAATAAAACAGAAAAAAAACATCGAAATGATATATCAATCATACGATCCATTTATCAATTTTTGAAAAAAAGGGAATGAAAAATGCATTTAATATTTCCTCTCAATTTTTACCGCGGATATCTGCCGGCATTATTCGGTGAATTTTGTACCGAATGAAAATATCGGTGAATAAATCTCCCGACTTGAAAGCTGAAAGCAGACATTTTCATCATCTTAAAACACACAAAGCAGCGACATTGGGAGAAAAATATCAAAGAACGTCGTAACGTTGCTTTTTATTTCCATTCTTCATAGATACGCTTTAATGAAACCTCAGGGGGAATCTGCTTGTCCTCGGCACGAATCTGCTCTCTTTTCGCATCATCTTGCGCAACATCGCGGCATCTTATTCTCGACAAAAATGTCAGCTTAAATCTTGTTCCTCCAATTACGCGAAAGCGGATTTCCGCGCAAAGGAGGTACGTTGAGACGTTTCTGACGCGCAGTTTGTCTTTCGCGAGCTACTGGGAGTTACTTGTGATTAACTTCTCGTAATCAGAGCTCACTCGCCACGGCCGAGGCGGAGCTACTCCCCGCGGGCGATTAAGTTTTTCGTCGAGGCGGCGCGGTTCGTTCCGCTGGGGGTGCGCTTTTTCTATCCTTTAAAAACACATATCACGTAGCGGCGTATTTCCCCACTTTGATAAATTATTCGTTTCATTGAATTATTCGGTTTGCGGCGAAACGTGCTTGGGCATGGCATTTAAATTGGCTCTTTCGAAATCGTGTTAATCGTGAATGAAGCGCCGAGACTGAACAATAAGTCGCGCGGAGAATTTTAGAACGGGATAAAAAGAAAGTTCAAAAACTTTAACCGGAATAAATGACTCTGAAAACTAATCCTTTCAATGTAATCCCATTGGCGAACAATAATTATATTTTTCGGACAATGCGGAATTAGAAAGTTTTTTTTTCCATACGACTTTTTGTCACTAATTCCGTTTTATTGCAAGTACGCTGAAAGTATTACGAGCGCTTCATACGTAGAAGCGCAGAATTTTCCCTAACACAATGCGGTGATTTTTGCGCACGATAAAAGTTTCACGAACGGCACCGTACGCTTTTCGCTACTCTCGTACGTTCAACAGTCAAAAGGACTAAAACTTAATCACGAAGCCGGATATCATCAGGCGCTAAGGGACGGGCTAATGTAGAGCACGCTGGTCCAGATGCGAAATCACGGTGGTGTCGTTAGCCCCTATTCAACCCTCGGATTCGATTCTTCCGCTCGAGCGAAACTGCTTCCCGAGCGCGACCAGACAAGGCGGCACCGAGAGAAAGAGGATTTTCCGCATCGCGCCGAGCGTAGGAATTTAAATCGCGCTCGTTTACGCGTCTTCATTTAATTAGACCGGGTTTAATCTCGCGAAGTGCCGTCGCAATCTGCCGGATCGCGTCGAACACGCCCCGCGTTATGTTACCTCAGCCGTAAGATCCGTATGAAAGATGATGATGGGAATAGGTCGATGGGTAGGGGATCGAGCTATCAAGACCCGTACCTTCAGAGATCGATGATTACGGTGTAAAGGGTAGACACATCGATTTATTACGAGTCTATCGATATATCTTATAGAATTTAATCTTACAGAAAAATGAAGAATGTTCCGATTTATTCCGTTATAGAAACTCATTTCTTATTACATGTGACATTAAAAAAATATATTCTTTTAGTCTTGAGAAATTTCTTGATAAAAATTAAAAATTATATTATTCAAAGAATATTTTTATTTACAAAAACTTTGTGTCATTTATCATTATTTCTACTGTGAAATGCATCCGTCAAAATTTAGTCAAGTTTTTATTAATTACTCCTGCGCTCGTGATAAAAGTGCAATTAATAAGAAGAATTTCTTCTGATCCTGTAAGATGGTTTGCGTTAAACACGAAACCGCAATAGATCGTTTCGCACGGGCGAGTTTGTCACGCGCGATTTCGCAGATGAAACGCGCGATTAAATGGCGAGGAAAGAACTGTCTGAACGCCGGGAAAACACGAAGGTGTAGCTACGAAACTCGACTCGGGTCGGGAATTTATATATATATATATATCCTCCAGCGTCCGACATATAATGCGAGAAAATATCGCGATGGAGAGCGAGAGAAAGATCAAGCGGAGACAAATGATCGCCGCGAAGAAAAGCGGGAGCTGAGCGAAAAATGACGAAAGGATAAAACTCGGAGAGTCGTACACGAGTGCGCACACGCCAAAACTCACCTGTTATTCTTGCTTCCTGTAAAGTCCTTGAAACTTGCTGTCTTGTCGGGTAAAATGTAAGGGTTAGTGACATCCGAGAGAAAGGCCTGCTTCGAGAAGCCAAGCTGTAACCTGCCGTCCGTCCCAATCGTGACATTGTTTAAGTTTTGTAAACATCGTTCCACGGCTATGCTGTCGCCCATCTGGATCATGGCACATCCTTCCTTCGTCTTCAAGAATTTAACCTGCAACAGGGGAAGAGAGAAACACTTGAAGTTTATCGCTCGACTAAGGCGCGTTACGGGAAGCGCACGGTGCTCACGAAATGTGTAAACCGGTAGTAGCTCACTTCTCTTCTCGAAATAACTCGCGATCGATCTTTTGTCGGCGGTAATTTACATCCAGAATTAACCGGTGTAAGATATTTAAGTGACTAATACTAGAAAATTAGTGAAAATATATATATATAATTCAATATGTTCAATAATTCAAACAATTCAACTTATAAAAACACTTAAAAAATAAACAATAAAATAAAAATTGTCTTACAATTTTATCTAATAAATTTAATGGGTATATAATTTTCAACGTAGTTTAAGCTACTTTCGGTTTAATATTTAACTTAATTTCACGAAAGACTATTTGTGACATCAACGTCTAAAAAGTGTCTTCATTAAATATCACGTACTAAAGACGCGAAAATCCGGTCGCGTTAATTCCCATTAAATATCAGCATCGAACTACACGAGAACTTGGATCTGTTGGTCCCCGTTAAACGCAAGTACCTCGTGTAAGGAATGTCTAACAGCCGCGCCATGTTAACGGAAGCATACGTCACGGCGTTGGTCAAGTCATGCAACGACCCTTTTGTCCCGGTCTCGTCAATTCGCTACATTTAACATTCTAAACACGCGCAATAGGTGTCGCACAAAGGTTCCGGGGTCGAGGGTGAACCACCACCATCACCACCATCACCACCACCACTTACCTTCGTCACGTTGCCGTACAAGCAGAATAGGTTGAAGAGCTTGTCGGTATTGACTTTGTCCGGTTGCAGGCCGTACACCATCATGACTGAGCCCTGCGTGCTCGAGGGCGGTGTTTGTCCCAGGGTGGGCACGTAGCCCGGCCGCGGTGGCGTGGGATGCAGCGGCTCACGACCGCTAAAGTCACTCTTGATACCGTAACGCTCGACATACGGCTCGGCGTACGTCGCCGGTCCGTTGAAATTCTCCTCGTAACGATCGTGGCCGGCGCTCGGCGGGAAGGTGACCTGTGGCGTGGATCCTGGAATCACAAGCCGCGAGATAAATGACGCTGCGCGCGACACATAATTGAGGACATTGTTGCTCGCCGCGAGAGCCTGCAGACTGTAATTAATACGCGTCCCACATCGGTCGCGCGCAGTTTTCGACTGGAATCGGGACGTCGCGAAGAAATTTAATGAGATTCCCGATAGCAAAGCGCGTCGCGCTCGGAAATGCGACACGGTTGCAATAAATGCAGCCGTAATTCAGACTAGTATTCATAAATTATGAGGAATACGGTAGGCTTTTATGTTAAAGTGGAATAAATATTGGAATATTGACGAGTGCTGATGAAGCATTTGAAAAGCTTGACAGATGCCTTTCAATTTATGAAAACATAACAGGAGTAATTTTATATTTTGTATTGTAAAAACTATATATTTAAAAAAGACACGATTTTTATACAAAAACGACCGTGCGTTTATTTTTCGAATCGAGGACATTTCGGGAAAATCAGCTCGAAAAAGATTTGTAAGCATTTGCGAATTAAAAATTCTGCATAAAAATGGCGAGTTAAATACAAAATTAAGTGGAAAAATATAAAATTCAGCGAACGACTCGACTTTCAAGCCGGAATAATTTGAGCCAATATTATAATTCCATCGGAATGGTAATGCAACGCTTTGTCGGCTGTGTGTATCCGAGTATTAAATGTTGCGACAAATGGTATCGATTAGAATGTCGGGGGGGTTATTGGGAAAGGTGAGTCGGCTGCGCAGCGGTGAATTACGATAATGTTTTCAACTATCGGATTACATCGCGCAACGAGGCTCGAGTGGTTTCGATTGCAGTCGCGCTGTGTTATGTTCGGTTCATCGATTTCACGTCAAAGCCGCAATAAAATCGCCGTCGCAGTTGACTTACAACGATAGTTTCAGACCGAAACGTATACCAGGAATTATTTTCCCGAAGTCAAGATATTAAGTGCTCAACAGTTCAGACGTGGCGAGCAGAAGGTTCCTGGCTGCAACAGTTCGAGCGCACGTCGATGCTGTAGCATCGTATGTCGCGTACGTGACAATTTCGATCTTGCATTATTAAATCAATCTTTCAGATATTGAAGTTTCATGATATTACGACGAATGCTAAAAGTAATTTATGCGATTGATAAAGCAGCGACAAATGAAAACACTATTTTTAAATTCTGACATTTTTGCACAAATCAAAGAACAAATATGTAATATCTATTAAATATAATGTTCCGCTAATGAAAAAATTTAAGAATATCTTTATGTGAAGTCTGAAAGCTTTTTTTAGCAATATTATATTCCACTTTCTACTTTAAAATGCGTGAAATTTTTTAAAATATTGCAGCTCTATTTTTGGTCACACTACTCGTTATCGTAATGAGTGGAATTTGCATTGCATACGTTATCGCGTTACGTATGCTATTTGTGTTGTAAGTAAAATAGTTTGTAATATTCATTTGCAAACAGAAAACACGGTTTGCTTTCGGTCTCATATTAATATTTAAATATCGCATGTGAAATAACAAGTTCAGTATGTGCTCGCAAATGTTTCCGCGAGAGAAAGCGTTGTAATAAAATCTCTTATTCAATTTTAAACAACTTAAATTAGAAATTTTCTTTACGCGGACATTTCCGCGAGCGCAATATTTCATGCCGAATGCGGTAATCGCGATGAATATTTCTCAGACAAAAGGTTCCTCAAAGTAAATTTTTGCCTCTCCAGTACGCCGAGTAGTCAAACAAATGTTCGCGATATACTTTTTCCTCCGAGAAACGTCCAGAATATCGTCGCTTCGCACTTCGTCGGTCTTCTGTTAATTCATTCCCATTTTTTACATGTGTTCGCGGAAAACCCGTGCGCGATCGTTCCTGCCATCTATTTTCCGAACCGGTGAGCTTAATTTGGCCATTAGCGAACAGACGGACAGACGGACAGGCAGAACGGATGGACGAACGAAAGAACGGACAGACAAACAGACAGACACTCACCATACGGCTGGGGCGCGGCGCCGTATCTTGGCTCAGCCAAAAGGGGTGCAGGCCTTCCATTTCCTGTCGCGTCGTTTTTGTGTGTGCTCGAGCCTGCAACAGAAACGACAGTTTCGTCGATGAGACTATAATCACCTTCGACGGATACGTCGCGACTGCCGCGTGGGACGCGCGACGAGGAGACAAACGACGCGAGCCGAACGTCGCCATTTATTCTGCGTTCCTGGCAGTTTGGACAAATTTCGGGCGAAAATCGCCGGGCGGTGGCACGGGAATAGGGAAATGTAAAGAAAATGCAGAAGAACTGTACATAAAGTTTTATATTATTACAATATTTTTAATTAACTTACTATATATTACTTTTGCAAGAGTATCGTGTTCTATTTTAAGACGGAAAGTTTCAGTTTCTAAAAATTTGCATCTTCCAAACGAATAATTTATAACATAAGTAAATACTATTTAGATCTAAAATTGCGATCTAAAATTGCGATGTTGGAACAAAGTCGATCTTGAATATCCCGTCCACGGAATATCCCGTGCATTAAGTTAACTCCAAATGCTATTACGTTACATCAGATTACACGCGCCGGAATAATAATCCCGAAAATTACACTTGAGGCAACATAACGGATTTTGATCAAGTCCCTAACGAAAGGTCGATTCATCCTACACTCCCCAATTAAAGACGATAGTAACGGAACACAATCTGCATAATTCGCATTTGGTTCTTCGCGCTGCCGCGCGTCCTATATCCGTCTATATTAAACCGCGTATTCATGCACATGCACACGTAGATACGTGCATGTGTTTCCTCGGGGATAAGCAAGACTTCGGCAACGTTTTGGTACACCCACGCGCGCCACATAGCGCTGCGCACGATGAGCGCCACACGCGCGAGCGATATCGAACAACCCATCCAGCCTCATTCCTTCTATTCCCCTCCCTCCTCTTACCCGTTGAATATTCGATATTGCCACGTTTCCTCTCGACGCGGCTGCAGCCTGCAACGAGAGATGCTCGTCTCCGTTTGAAATAGAACGTCCTTCTATCGCATCGAGCCGCACCCGGACCACTTGATTGGCCCTCGCTCAGGAGGAAGCAATCGCCTTAAGCCCACTTGATCCCACCCTGGATCGAGATCGATACCGCCTGCATTGTGGACGTACGGAATCCCGGCAGATTAATTGCTAATTAAGATCAGCACGCTAACGCCGCATAACACTGTAGAACGCATAACGTTGTATGTAATCGGCAAGACACTGCATTCGACGAGAGCGCAGACGCGAGATTTTTCCTCCCTTCGGATTTTTTTTAAATAAAGCTCCGACAAACGTCTTTTTAATAATTGTTCGATGTTTTGATTATATTTCAAGGTAAAAAAACAGATTATTCGCTCGCAATGCAAACACAATTTGCGTTCTCGCATTCGAGTTTGCAGTATATAAATGCAAAGTCGAAATCGATTATATTAATTATTTAGAGTTGTGAAAGGATACTTTTTTTGTAGGATTAATAACGCTCGAAATAGACGATTAAAAGTTATCCGTCTGCCCAGCTGTTGAATATGCGAGAATTAATAATTCAAGCGAAATGTGTCGATGACTTAATGACGACCTAATAATTCACGAGTTCAAATGAAGCGGATAGCAATTGCGCACGAACATCGAATTTTAATATCGTTACAACATGTAAGGACCACGAGGACCGTTAATTGACTCCTCGCCGACGACGCGTCACGCACACACATTTTCGATAATTACGCGGCGCACAAATTATTCAGATGTCAGGAATCGATTTGCCCCTTTATCGTAAAATAGCGGCAGCTGGGACGTGTTTTTCAATAACGCGGGACAGGAACAGCGGACCGTGCTCTACGGCGAGCACGAGAAACAGCGCACCTGGGGTCGTCGAAAGCCCCGCGCGAGTCCATGAAACCCGATATTGGCACTTGTAGCATTCGTATAGGTCCGCGGAAATTGCGATTTCGGATACGTCGGCGAGGTTACGCGCCCAAGTTTCCATCAAGGGCGCTTCGTGTATTTGTCCTGCTCCGCGTTCTCGAGAGACGACATGATTAACGAATTTACCGCCCACGAAGGCGAATGCGAAAACACGTTATCGATAGTTTGGAGAATTGGAGCGACTGAGACAGCTCGAATCACTTATAATTCCGTTTCTACGATTGCGAGATAGTTATCGATAGTGTATAAAGCAACGAGAATGCTACGTTACAGATGCACGCTTGCGGAAGTGCGATATTCACTTCCGACATACAATTAATTATCGCAGTTCCGTCAATTAATCATCATTTGCGAAAAATGAGAACATTATACAATAAACGTAATTAATTCAGATTTCCGCTTCACTCGGCAAACTGTCTATTCGATATTTTACAATTATACGATCTTTCAAATGTTGCAGAATTATTTGGGTCAAACACGGTTTCCCTTCCATTCGAAAGATTTCTACATTTCTGCCGAGTAAATTCCATGCGAAATTTCTTTCTCGTGGGTGTCAGACTCGAGCGATGGACATTCGACCGTAAATTAATAACGCCACTGTAGATGTTCGCTGTCATGTTAAATCAGTAACGGTTGAGAGGTCGAGAATTTCAATCTCCAAAACAATTTCACCGCGAGTAGTAAATCCTGCATGCGCTATTCTGCACTGTCCTCCTTAACTGAGATAGAGCATTGTTCGCTCTCTTGAATCGTTAATTGTTAATGTTAAATAATTCAATAATGCTTTTTGCTTTCTTTTTTAACTTTAAGAGAAAGAATTTTTATTCTAAATGTCTTTATTCCAAGAGCTTTTATTCTAAATTCTGCTAATAAAAAATATGCAAAAATGTATTAAATAAAAATAATTTAGTAGAATTCCTTATAAATATCCGATTCACACTAAACCAAAATTTGGTAAACTTTTTTGTATGCAAAGCTTTTCTCATAAATCTCAAGATCAAACATCGAGCCGATCACAGCCGTTGAATAAATAACGTCGCTGCGGATGTTCGCTGTCGGATTAAACCAGTGCGGTCCGGCAGCTCGCGGGATTTCAATCTCCAAAACAGTTTCACCACAAGCGTTGCATCGTAAAGGTAAATGCCATTACTGGTGTAACGGCGTCGTCGTTTGCAGGAGTCACGTGCGATTATTACAGACGGATATTAGAACTCGTAGGTCATCGAGCCGGGCAGAATTGCAATTTTATGCCCGATAAGACGCGTGATAGGGAAATTATGACCTCCCAATGCCCTCTGCGATAGAGTTATCGAATATTTTTTTCTTTTCTCCCCCGTTTTCGGCGATCGCTATCGACGGAGGAGAAGCGCTTCTCTCGCATTTCAACGGGGTGAGACGCGACGGGAACGAATGGCGACGAAAGAGAACTCGCGCACACGGTATCGACCTCCGGGCATCGTCACGCAGACTGCCATCCCCATATACAGGGTGCGTGTGAAACTCCGATACATGATACGGACTATGATTTGAACCGTGATATTACATTTGCATTTTTACGAAATTACAAATATCGTAAAATATAATATATTCAACACAATGCGTTTCTATATATTTTAATGTAAAACTACTGTTATAATCAACTTGAAATCGAAATTCTTTAATTAATTTAGACTCCACATTGTTTTAACGCAACTACTAATAATTTTTGATTGAATAAAAATACGTTTAGTACATTTATTGTGATAGAAATAAAACATTAAAGCCTTGCGATTGAATTTCATGTTTCTTCAAATTAAACGCGATAAGACATTTAAGATTAAAAATTCAAAAAATGTGATGATAAATCACTTGAATAAAATTTTCACTAAAAAAGATTTTATCTCAAATTCACACGTAAACTTAAGGACAGAAAATACACGGAGATTGGGGATACTCCACACATAACAAGCTATGTAAACTTCGTCGGCGACGCAGGTGGTATATCGGTCGGAGAATGTAACCGGAAGAAACGGCGAACAGATTATTTGAACGAAGACGGGATTACTCGACGATGAACAAATGCTCCCTCGAGACGTTATATACATCGAGAGGATTCGCGATTAAAGTTCAGTCTCCTCGAAATAACGACCACAATAGTGCGGACAAAGCTCAGAGCATAAAAAGAGAAGACCAGTATATTAAATACCACGGCAAAATGTCACTTTTTTTCTTTTAAAATGTGAAAATAATCTCTCGAGACTCCCTACCTCATCAAGATTGATAACGTAGTAGAAAGAACGAAATAGAAGAACGTGACAAAATTGGAGACTTTTGTAAGCGCGGAAAACGCGAAGCGCGAGCGCTCCTTAAATTAGGTAACACAACCCCAGAACGGTTAAATGTAACAATTTCGTTACAATTCCCGCTGCAGTTACGCGAATTATCAATTTTCAACCTAATAACGCGGAAGAGAAATAGTGTGAGGGGTTCTGGGGAAGCTTTCCAAGTCCTATTAAGCGGTTCGATCACGCTGAAAAATAAAGACGGCGACCTAAGCAATAAATGCACTCAGTACGTGCATGCCAAGTTGCTATCAAATTAATAGCTTGAAGAACAATTTTATGGATGTATATCTATAAAAGTCGCTCTTAGCAACGAGTGCACTTTTCTCGGTCCGCAATTTGTACAAGATAAAAAGAGGAAAATAAAGAGACAAAAACGTATTGTTAAAAAAAAATGGTTTTCCTACTTTACCTTCCTTTATATATAAACCTCGTATATAATAATAAATAAAATAAATGCATCATGTAATATTAAAAATATTAACAATATGACAAAATAATTTATGAAAAATCCTACAATCTTTAAACTATTTTTCTTTTTATTTTTAATACTATTAAATATGCGATTATCTTAGAAATGGCAAATAGAAATCCAGTTTAATTTATTAATAATGCCACAGAAGTAACATACAATATTTGTCAAGTGCTAGATTACGGTTTTCTTAACAATATCGAAGTTATAACTGCGAGATCGAGTCTCCTTAAAGCAAATATTTGAAGGCTTTCTCAAGAAATCGACGTTCATAGTGCAACAGGTATAGTTGAAGTCAACCTAGCAGTAAAGTGTTGCAGACCGGCAAGAAATAAAAAG